GTTACTGTTCTATTATATGTGATGTAATCAGAGCTGAGAAAGGTCTTACAAGAAGATGAGAGGAGGACATCATCTTCTCTAAATTCATTCACCCCCCCATATCATAGCATTATAACTGTACATTTTAACCCCTCAACAGTTACTCAAGGACTAAAACTGCCTTAGAGGTTAGCTACAGACAGTGAAAAACATTAGAAAGAAGTGAAGGCAGGTAACTGAATATTTATTAATTAAATCTCTAAGTATTTATTATTTTTGTTATAGTAGCAGAGGTATTAAACACAGTTACATATTAGTTCTAAGCATCACATGTCATTTCTGAAAATCTTGTGTAACAGCAGGTAACTTATGTAACAACAAGGCTTTATACAACCTAGATACCATTTTCCTTCCTTTGTAATGAAACTACGTGGGGTTTGGGGTACCTACACAGAGGAACAGTTTCAGACAGAGTTGAGAGTTGTGCTGCTACTCGCTTCTTCACAAATATTTGAGTCATGTTCCTCCTGAGCATACATGTTAACAATGCAGCAAGAACAAACAGTAAATCAATTCAGCTGCAAAAGCCGCTGGAGGTGCTCTGCTTTCATCCTTCCTAGGGCTCAACAACTATTCGAACTCGGTGGCTTACTTTTACTACTTCATTTCTCTCTAAAGCAAGGAGGAGAGCGCAGAGAGGGCATCACTCTGTGGATTGTTGTCGAAGTCTTTGAGCCAAGCTCCAGAAGCATGTAAGCACCTGTTGTTTTGAGACCTTTTATGAAACATACCCCGAAGTTAGACTGCAGCTGAACTGTGTAAGTGAGGCTCTCTTTTGAAAAGCAGAAAATACAGGCTGTTACAGCACTTGTACCTGGTCAGTTGGAGTGAAAGGATGTATAATTGGAGAAGAAGTATTGATGTTAACATAACTTTTCTAACAGGAAGAGAACTGAGGAAGAGTTAAGACAAAAGGTTTATTAGGAAGCTGGGAACAGCACAATACCAGCACTAAATTGAAGAAAGCAAGCAAAAAAAGGGAAGTAACTACGTGAAAGAACACTACTTCCTCAAAAAAAAATTGAACTCTTTGCTTTCTCTTTTCACATGAAAGCATAGGGTTGTATTTTGTGTCTCAAAATTACTTAAAAAGTGTTTCTATTAATATTTATATATATAATTAATATATACTCTCTTTTCTTGTATAATAGCTAGTTTTAAGGTAGGATAAACAGATCGTGGAGATGTTTTTAAGAGTACAGCAGTTAAAATTCACGATTACTTGACTTCAAATGCATCAGCAGAACACCTTAATCATGTACCTCAGGAACACCTAGTAATTTATAGACTAAACAAGGGATTCCAGTAGGGAGCAGGCAGATGCTGTTTGGATCATCATGTTCCTGCTTGGAACTGGCTTTCAAACATATGGCCCATATTTTCAAATTGTGGACCTTCAAAGGCTAATCTAGAGAAAGACAATATAATAGCAAATTACAGGTGAGAAAAAGAGGGAAAAAAAACCCCAAGCAGCTACAACTGCATAGTAAAGACACTCAAGGGAAACAGAAGGAAGAAAACCAAACCACACACGTGAGCTTACCTTGCCTGAATGTGAAGATATCCATATTAATTGATCTTGGGAGATGCAGACAGAGCATGAGAGAAGTTCTCTCACTGTGATGGGCTTCAGGAAGGCCTTAAGACATCCCTCTTGGAAAGGATTTGACAATCTTGCATTTATAAAGTTGCAATGTTTTGCTTAACTTTTGTGCCCAGCAGTTAAGAGGGCTCATTACTGTACATGAAAGCAGAGGACTAACGGATGGCACCTCCTCTCGCCTGCTGTTTGCATGGGGAAGCACAATACAAATTGTGGACATGCCACAGTTGTGGGTGGCAATGGAGGCAAGGACATAGCTGGTGGGAAGTGACAGCTGGGAATACAAAAGAAAAAGCAATTGGGATTTGGAAGCAACAGGTGGGAGCAGGAATCAGAAAACTATAGTAAGAACGCTGAGGAGGCAGGGACTAATCCAGGCCTTGTTGAATAAGTCCATTGGAAGGGCAACTTGAAGAGGAGACAAAAAAGGAAACAAGCAGGGACAATATGATAATATTGTGTGACTGGAAAGCAAACACAAAAGGCAGGTTCCTACTTCATCAAAGCCGTACTTGTTTCTTAGCCTGATCTATATCGTAATACTCATCTGTGAATGACGTCCTGCGTATTTTAATAGAAAAGAGTGGCTTGGCTGTTACTTTAAGAGCAAAACAGAGTTAGCTGTAGCTGTGAAGCTGCAATGAGCTCTTCCATGACAGGTGGACAGGAAAGGGACAAAAAGGGTTATTTAAAGTCTGCTTGCTCTTGCTGCAGTGGCAGGTGTGCTGGCAGACGGCTGGGCTCGATGACCTTATAGAGTTGTGCTCCCACATTAACCGAGTGGGCTGAATGTGACTGACAGGGCCTCTGTGCCCTGAGAATGTTAACATCTTAAGTCATTGCTTTGGGTCGTGTTCCAGCTAAGGGAGGCAGTGCAGCAAGATGGGGGTTGCCATGTCCCCTGAGCAAGGCAGAGTGGAAATGGGACCTCACCTCACGCAGTCTCTCCAGGCACAGGAGGTGCTGGGACTGGTCCAGAGGGGCCACCTCAGGCAGTGGGACTACTCGGGACAGCAGCCGTTTTGGGATCATTTGGGGGTCAGTGGTCCCAAATGTCACACCCCCCCCCTTTCCCCAGGAGGACCTTGGCCACCCCCACGCGAGGAGAGGGATCGACCCTGTC